TCCTAAAAATATATAAAAAATCATTTTTGAAAAATATTTTTTTGTACCAATGGCACTATCATTTCTCTATCTTTTCACTCAACACCCAACTCAAAAACGTACTCTTTAGACTTTGTTAGTGCTCTTGGGTTACCCTGGTGTCATAGTTTTTTTTTTTTTTTCTTTTACTATTCTAAAAATATAAAAAAATATTAATTAAAATTAATTAATATATATAAAAAGTTAATTAAAATTAAATAAAAATAATAAACTTACAATTTTAAATAAAATGTGTGGAAAAAGATTTATTCAGAGTCTGATCAAGCAAAACCTCAATTACCCCAATAAAGATGAATTATAACTACACACAAATAAGTTTGTTTTATCACAATTTTATATTCGAAGTAAGGTTCTTAGATTTCTATTAGAGTATAAATTCAAGTACTAATAGGAATTATCATATATATTGTCATACAGGTCTTAAGGTTCCTAATCAAGTTGGAATCAAATTAGAAGACAAAATCTCGCTATCACTTTAAATGCAAGACTCAATTGGAATTTTCGATATTTGCTTTGAGCAATTTAAGGCACCATTTCCAACAAAAACCTCCACTGATGCAACTACAAAATGTTAGAATCTTATAAAAGATGGAAAACTAATTCAGTTGAATTAGAAGACATTATTCTATAGATATGAACTCAATCGTAATACACTATAATTCTATAAATACTCAAGTATAGAACTAGAGTAGGGGATTTCAGATCTTTTCAATCATTGTAGCTCTCTTTCATTTATCATTAACAAAGTACTTGGTTTTATCTAATTTTTAGTGTTAACTTTTACTAATGCATATCTCGTAATATCTTTTTCAATATCCTTAACAAATGGTATAATATTATGTTTTCTTACATTGGCTTTCAGGTAATTCCTAGATTGGAGAAGCTATCATTAACAAGTGATGACATTGCAATGATATGTACTCGCCAATTTCCAGAAGGCCTCTTCTCCAAAGTTAAAGTTCTTCGGGTTCGCTGCTACCACAGTGCATTGACGGTTTTTCCATTGTTCTTCATTCAAAGATTCTTCAATTTAGAAAAGCTTTTTATAGGTTGCTCTTCTTTCAAGGAGTTGTTCCCTTCTGTAGCATCCATTGATTGTCAGGAGAAAGATGCAAGATGGTATTTACGTATTAGAAAGTTGAAGCTGGATACACTTCCTCATCTGCAGTATATATGGAGTCAAGGCTCAGCATCAGACCTACTTGTTCAAAATGTTGAATCTCTTAAAGTGCTGGGATGTGATAATTTGATTAGCTTATCAGAATCTACACCATCTTTCCGAAATCTCACCACTTTTTTGGTAAAAAGATGTCAAGGGTTAAGAAATTTATTTTCAATTGCAACTGCCAAAAATCTGGTGCAACTCCAAAGTATCACCGTAGAAAATTGCCACTTTCTGAGAGAAATAGTTGGAGGCGAAGCGATGGATTAGATTTTGAAGTTGTGATTGTTTTCAGCAAATTAAAAGTTTTGAAACTTAAGTGCTTAACAAGACTTGCAAGCTTCTGTTCTGCAAATTTCACAATTATGTTCCCATTGTTGGAAGAAGTAATGGTGGCTCAATGTGCCAACTTTGAGACCTTCTGTCATGGAATGTTGAGGACTCCAAGCCTGCAGAGAATACAATTAACACAAGAAGATGATGTAGGGCGTCCGGTGGTTGAGCTGAATGACACCATAAATCAAGTGTACAAAGATAAGGTATGAATTGAGCCATGAGTTTCCCCTATTTGTTATTGCAATTTTTTCAGTTATTCCATTCATCAAATGCAAGGAGTAAGCTATTACTTTTTTTTTCTTCTTCTTCTTCTTTCATTTTTCTCTATTAATTTATTTGGATATATTCTTATGTTAATAACTGAAGAGTGTACTGGGCAGGTTGGTTTTTCTGGGTTACAATATTTGAACCTCTCAGTCTTTCCTCAGTTGGTGGAAATATGGAACGAGAATCCTCAAGAGATCTTGGATTTCAAACAGCTTCGTGTCCTTGAAATTTGTAATTGTAGGGACTTGAAGTATCTCCTAACACCTTCCATGGCTTTGAGTCTTGTTTCCCTCGAAGAGATGAAAGTGGAAAACTGTGAAATGATGGAGCAAATCATCACAGAAGAGGAAGCTACGGAGGTAGATGAAAAAGAGATAATATTCCCACTGTTAAAAACCATTAATCTGGAATCTTGTCCCAACTTGAGAACTTTCTATGTGGGAAATTATAAACTTGAGTGTCCATCATTGTCATGGATGAAATTACTTGACTGTCCAAAGATGGTTACATTTGCTTCAACATTTTCAACGGTGCAAGAGGCAGCAGAAGGAGTAAGTGCAGAAAGGATTGGAAAGGAAGTCATCGATATCCCTATTGCACCCTTTTTCGGTGACCAGGTCTGTTTCTTCACCTGAATTGTTGGTTTCATATTTTCTCGAGTTTCGATCCACTTGCGCGGCCTAGATTATATTATTCTACTTCTACCATCTACATAAACATTCTTATGGTTAACCAAACACATCTATTCGATATTCATTTATGACATGACTAAAACTAATAAGTGAATGCTAATATTCCATTTATGACATGATAAATTATTAGTCTTAGTAGTTATAAAATTTATGGAAACTAAAATTAAAAATTAAATATCATGACCATACTAAATAAAGCCTGAATTATCCAACAGGTTCTAACTCTTGGACTATTTCGGTGCATTGACCAAACGCAAGTCCTATTTTAGGATAGTTCTTCTTTTGCATAAAATATAGAACGCTGTAGCCCAAGCAAAAATTACACCTTAGTGGTCTTGACATAGTTGAGATGGATTTCACTTGGAAATATAATTTTTCTAACTCTTATATAAATTATTTCTTATAGGTTGTACCATCTTGATCCAATAAATTACATATGGTATAAAAAATTAATTTAAAATTATAATTTTGTATTAATACTATTATATTTAATAATTAGGAGAAAAGGTTGTACACATGAATGATGCGAAACGCGACTTGAGATCTGCTTAGGTTATAATTATGTGTGTTTAGATACATATATATACATATTAGAATAGTACATAAAGTAGCCAACAACTTAAATAATTCAGTAGTAATTTTTTTTTATGGAAGTAACATATACTGAGTTTGAATTATATAACATGCAAATTGGGTAAGAGTAAGGAATGAAAAATGATTATCTCTCATTGTATGATTTAATATCAAAAAATAGTACATAGAGTCTCAATTTAAATAATGTTGTTTCATTTCCATTTTGATCATTCTGGATATAAAAAATCAAAAATTTGTCTTATCAAATATTGTATATTGATTTAACATTTAATATAGTGAATTTCTGAATTTTGAATTGGATTTTAATTAAATGAAACGAGTTGTTTAAGATTGAGACTTTAATTCTTTTTTTGACATTAGACCTAATATGTATTATTCATAATCCATATATAGCAAGATTCATTTACACACAACTTATACATGTATCACTTAACTTTTATCCTATTTTTTAATAAAATTATCTTTTTCACTTAAAAAGTTATGATAAATCTTAATTATTCATAATAAAAAAATAAATGGTCCAACAAATTTTGTTTAAGTGCTGTAAATAAATGTTGTGTGTAAGGTGGTCTTGGGATATTTGAGATGTATGCATCTTTAGTTATTTGAAGTTAATTTTCATGCCATTTCTTCAGAATCATTGTGATTCTTGGTTTTATTACTTTCTATTAAAGAATAGAAATTTGTTCATGAAGCTAGAACTGCACTTTTCAGGTTGAGTTTTCCAGCTTTCTGGCATTGAGGCTTTTGTCGATGAATATGCGACAAATATTCCAAAAACAACTTTTAACAATGTCTTCAGTTGTTCATAGTATAAAACTTCTGCTTCTGAAGGGATGTGGCAATTTGAAATATCTGCTTACATCCTCAATGATTAAAAGTCTTGTGCAACTCCAATTGCTTGAGATTTGTGATTGTGTGATGATGAAAGAGGTAATAGTAAATGAAGGATTAGCAGGGGAAGAAAGTTTGTTGTTAGCTAGGCTTGAAACCCTAACTCTTAAAGGCCTTCCCAAATTCACAAGATTCTGCTCTGGAAATTACTTTGAGTTCCCCTTCCTGAGATGCCTTCACATAATCCAGTGCCCTCTGTTGGAGACGTTCATCTCCAGTTCTAATGTTGGGGAAACGAGTCACATGACAGAAAGTAAAATAGTAGAAAGCACTTTTACAACACCGCTCTTTGATGCAAAGGTAAAATTTTTTGCTCTTTTTCCCTTTACTTTTCATTTTTCATGTCTTAAAATATTTCCTTATAATTTCATATTATATTTCATTTCTAGGTGTGATTCCCCAGATTGGAGCACCTTGTACTCAAAGATATGGAGAGCTTGAACTTGATATGGGATAACCAACTTGATGCAGAGAGCTTCCACAAGCTAGATCAACTTCTGGTGAAATCCTGTGAAAAACTGTTGAATATTTTTTCAGTTACTATGCTTGGAAGACTTGAAAACCTAGACAAACTTAATATAGAAAATTGTGTTTCACTAGAAAAAATATTTGAACCTCAAGGGTTGAATGCTAGTGAAACACAAGCTTCGAAAATTGCTCAATCAACTTCGTTCGCAGCAACCCCTAATTTTGGGTCTCCAAAAGTAACACACTTGCTACTTAAGGGGCTACCTAGTCTCAAGAGCATCTAACCTGGAATTTATTTTATAGAATGGTCATCATTGAAAGAATTGGTGGTATTTGGATGTAATCAAGTGCAGATACTTGCTTTAGAACTTCTGAGTTATTAGAGAAAATGCAGAGAGAACCAACTTGAAAACCAGAATCAATGCCCTCTATTCTTGATCAGTAAGGTATGAGCTCTAAATAATGGACAAAAAACAATGTGCATGTGCTAATGCATTACAGCTTTCATGTAAGCTCTTTCTTGCCTAAACTTATTTTTTAGTCTACAGATAATAGTTTGGTCTTAAAATTCATCAATTAATTATATTTAATATCTTTATCTTTGAGTCTGTCAAATGTTTTGTGTGTGTTTGGGGGGAGTTGTTTGTAGAATATTGGATTGGAGTACCTCTTGTGCTCTTAATAATATTGTTTTATTTGGCTGTTAAAAAAAAGGGCAGAGGATTTAGATCATCTACCCTTTTCACACTCCCTGGTTTGTAATTTTTCAAAATATATGTCAATTTCTAGGGTACCTTCCCTAGTCTAGAAGAACTAATAGTGGAGAGGAATGAGAGCATGAAGGAGATATGGCATGGTGATGATGTGAAGGATGGCATTCTTTTCACCAAACTTGAGTCTTTGCAACCTAAAGTTCTTCCAAAACTAGAAAGCTTCTGCTCAGGAAATTGCAACTTTGAATTTCCATCTTTGGCAAATGTAATTGTGATGGAATGTCCAAATATGCTGACTTTCTTTGAGGGAGAAGTAAGTACATCGAAATTGCAGAAAATGAAATTGACAGAAGATCCAACAGATGAAGGAATTTGACAGGAAGGTGGCCTTAACCCCACAATACAACAGTTGTTCACAAAAAAGGCATCCTCTATTTCTTTTGTTCTATGCTTTCTATCCATCTCCTTAATAATCCCGTTGAAAGACACGATCAAATTAAATATGGGGAAAGGTTGTGGTAAACTTAATAGATTATTTGTAGTTATATGCTTTAACTAGCCTCTAATTCAAAATGTGCTGATTATGATTGCAGAGTGGTGATGACGCTGAAGAAGACTGGTTTGATGCTTTGGATAATTTGTTCGATTAGGATGATGTTTCAGAAGGTGAGTGGATTCTCTAATGCCATCAACTTTACGTGTCAGATATATAAGCTTTCCCTTCAAAAAGATATATCTTTTATACACGCTGCTATATATATATATATATATTGATGATACTTTCTTCCTTGTAGGTTGTATGGTGCACTCCTAATTAAGCTGGATTTCAGCAGTGTCAAGCTGAATTTTTCTTGGCACCTAAAATGTTATTTCAATTCCTCATAGGTTGTATGGTGCATTCACTTGTGACTTCGACTTATCAAAAAGACTTCTATTTTTTTGGTTTGTGTGTGTGGGAGAATTTTTAAACTCGATTTTACCTTCATTTAGATAACTTGATACTGCTATTGGGTTATGAATGCATATAAACACACGCGCGCGTCTTATGCATCTTATTTATATCTCTTTTCCACCTTGGCAAATCCTCTGTTGGCTAGTGGGCTCACTATTAGCCATGAATTTACCCTTTACTCACCATCAGTCATGCAATCTTGTGGTAAAGTTACTTGTGTTATTAATCACAGATATAAGTTCAGTCCCCGTCTCTACTTAAAAAATTTACCCTCTGCTCACAATTTTAATGATTCATTAGGTTCCTCCGACTGTAGAACTCAGCTTAACTTTATAAATTTCAGCCTAATATCTTGAGCCGATCCCAAGCCCAGAACCAGAACTGTTGACAGGTCCTGGGCCAAATTTAACCCTGGCAGGCCTAGTTGCGCCCAGCCTATGCGATCAGCTACCCTTTTTTTCACTCTTAGCCCTTCACAATCCAGGGGAAGTGGACAACTCCCTACATTTAGCATTCCGGCAACCAACTCCAACGATAATAATGCCTTTAGTGCAACAGATTATCCGGAGATATTTCCACTGTTTCATGAAGTTTGGGTGTCTCCAAGACAGTCTGATCATAGCTCTACCTTCGGCTGTTCTTGTTCTCTTTCGTGCCTACCAATTGTTTGTTAAAATGTGCCAGAGACATTTTCAACTAAATCTAGCGGCAGTATATGTAAACATACACTGTTGCAGGTCAGCTTTACTAGAATAAGATTAGTAGTAATTATATTTTATCTTAATTTATTTTTTGTGATTTTATTTTATTATCCTAGTAACCTATAAAAATAAAATAAATTATTAATAAATT